ACGCTCCTACGACAATAGCAAAGCACGCGCAATCATATGCTTGACCTTACCTACGCAGACATATCAATGCACGCAATCACTGCTCGTTTCACTCACGCCACCCACATCACGCGCACTGCCACCCCCTCTCCATTGCTGTACTTATTTCTCTTGCCGCACAAACACACACACGCGCCCGCGCGCACCATAGAACGTGATTGTGGTTGAGACTGGCAAGACCGATTCGGACACGTGTGTGTACTTTTTGTACCAGGCGCGAAGCGAGGATGAGGCCTCGCGTGTGTGCGCCGTGTTTGGCAAAGCTTTCCACCTCCTCCAAGCACACGTCAACTCCCCCACCTAACGGTCCACCCTGATGGTGTTTTGCGCTTCGTCTCATGCGTGCTTGTAGGTGCTTGGTTGGTTTGTACTTCTAATTCTGGTCACTCTTTGTTCCGGTGTGTTTTGAAACGTAACTGCCCCGCTTCCTTTTTGTGCTTGTGCATCATGTTCATAAAAGACAAGCCTCCCATCACTGCACACACAGCACACACGCACACACACACACACGCACACAGCACACACACACACACACACACAGCACACACACACACACACACACACACACACACACACACACACACACACACACACACACACACACACACACACACACACACACAACATATCTGTTGTGACTGAATTCAGCCTCAGTCTCCATTGCCTGACGACTTTTCAGCGTGACGATGCAGGTGGCGTTTTGGGATGTCTGTGTTGGTTTGGAGTGGCGAAGATGAAGCATGCATGGTTGGAGCGCGCTTCCCCGCACAACGCAGACATCTCTCTGTCATCACCAGCACGGAATGCTGCTTGCTGAGGTTGATGCTAGTCTTGTCTCTGTAAAAGACAGAAAGGACAAAGACGACACAAGGAACTCCAGGCATACAACACAACCCAAGGCGCCAGCCTGATGCTTGCATTTACATAGACGCTTGGCCAAACGGGCAACAGACGACACGCCATGCTCTCGTTCTTCTCGCGTCGAAATCGGAGTCACAATCGTGGCAAGAGCAGCAAGAACAGCAGCCACAGCAGCACGTCAAGTGATGGTGATGACGGTAGAGGGCGCCAAAAGGCCGCACCGCCAAGCAAACAGGGTTGGCGCAAGCGGGGGAAGAGCAGGAGGAAAGGGAAACAGCAGAACGGCAAGGCGCTAGAAGACAAGACACACGAACACAGCCAACTGCTGGAAGAGCACACCTACCTGGCCATCTTGCCGTGTGGCACAGCTCGTGATGATAATGATGAGGGTGAAGCGGAGGTGTTTGCTGATGATTTGCGAGCGGATGGCGGGTATATGACGGTGCAACCTCAACCAGAGGGCGACACCAGCGAGGAAGTCACACACAACAACCGATGGGGCACTGCCTTTGGCGCTGACGATGACCACGCTGCTGGTGTCTTCCCAGTTGCTGACGATGAGGATGATGAAGACAACACCAGCAGCTGCTGTGAACTGCTCTCGCGCCACCGACCTCACCACCACCACAACAACAACAACAACAGCGACGACGACAACGACGATGATACCGTGAGTCTGGACTGGTGCTATGAAGACCTGCGACGCCACGGATCGCCGCAGGACATCGACAACAGTCATGCGCTTTGTGCCAGCGAGGACTGTGATGTGGGTCCAGCACGCACTGGCGTACATAGCAGCACACCATCCCGTCCGTGCGGAAGCATGAAGCGAATCAGGGACCCTGCCGTGGATGCCATGCACCAACGGCAGGGAAGCAAAACGCTTGTGCTGCACGAACGCTGCCGTCAAACACACAACCCAGATGCGAATGACACATCATCTGCACCACCAGGAGCAAGCACAACCACACCACATACGCCCGCAGCCCCAACAACACTGCCAAGCGCAAGCACAGACACAACAACAGACACATCGGATGCACCAATGCCATCATCATCATCGCCATCGTCAGCAGCCGTGGAGACGACAGCAGCGAATGGTGAGGCCAGCCCATCCACGCGGCGGCGCCGCATCAGTTTCCGCTGGTCGCCCCGCCTCTCCCGCCGCTTTCGACGCCACACACGCCGGCACACAACAGGCGGCATCAACGAGCAGCAGGTGGTGGTGGTGGATGAGGAGGAGGAGGAGGAGAAGGAGGAGGCCGGGAAGAACAACGGGAAGGAGAAAGACAAAGGGGTGGAGGAGGGCTTCGAGCACGGTGGGGACGCGGGAGACGGCAGCAATGTTGACAGCCATGATGGCCACAACGGGGACGCGAGCGATGATGGGGTGCCGCAGAAAATGCAGCAGGAGAGAGGAAGTAGAGTGGACGCAGAGGGTGGAGTGGGAGTGAGGGAACCTCACAACAGGGGCGGAAGCTTCAGATTCTGGCAATCATGGAGAAGCAGCAAGCACCCGCAGCAACAGCGACAGCAGCAGAGTGATGGTGTGGAGAGCACAACGGGCACTGCTGCGACGCACTCAACAGGAAGCCAGCACAGGCGAAGGTGGTCTGAATCTGCTGCTGCACAGCTCATCCACCACACCATGACACTCGGCGGCAGCAACAACAGCAGCAGCAGCAGCAGGAAGACGTCACATGACAGCGCATTTAAGCCGCGGCTGGAGCCCATTGATGAAGAAACATCGCGCCGCCGCTACGACACACAGGCCGTTGACCTCACCCACCTCCTCGGTGCGTGTCTGTGTGTGTGTGCCTGTATGCCCGTGTGTGTGTCTGTGTATGTGTGTGTGTGTGTGTGTCTGTGTCTGTATGTCTGTGTGTGTGTGTGTCTGTGTATGTCTGTGTGATGAACACATCGACGCAGGTTCACCCCTTAGTGCTTACATGCACGCATGCATGCATGCACGTTGTCGTCCTTCTCACGTTGTTTGTACACTCACCCCATCCCTTTGCCCCCTTGCACCTTTACCGTGAGCAGAGCTGCGCCGCACAACGCGGCGGCCGCGCCACTCCCAAGACGTCGTCATCAAGATGTCTGCCTACAGCACCGGCGACGATAACCCCATCATCGCAGGCAAACACGTCCTGCCAGAGGACGCAGCCAACGCGGTCTGTGTACATCGCCCGCTGTTGCGTTGTTGTGCTCGTGCATGTGTGCATGTGTATGTGTTTGTGTTTGTGCTCGTGTGTGTGTGTGCATGTGTGTTTGTGCGTTTGTGTGTGTGCATGTGTGTTTGTGCGTTTGTGTGTGTGCATGTGTGTTTGTGCATTTGTGTGTGTGCATGTGTGTTTGTGTATGTGGATGTGTGTGTGTGTCACGCCCTACACGTGGTTCGTTGTTGATGGCGTCAGTTTACACGTCTCGCAGCTCACTCCCCATGACGCCCTTGATGCTGTGACTCGTCTGTGCAGACCAAGCCGCCTGAGATGCGACCTGTCTACGCCACGGGCGACGACGTGCCCACGCGCCTCCTCAACACCCGCCTCTCCCAGCGCGAGCACGAAAACTACCTCGCTGCTCGCCTCTTTAGCAACCCGTAAGCCATATTGTGTGTGTGTGTGTGTGCGTGCGTGTGTGCGCGTTGTTTGCCTACTTGTGTGCCCATCTCACTCGCGTACTCTGTCTTCCTCAGGTACACGGCGAGCATACGCGACCGCATGCACTTTGTGAAGGAGCACCCCGTCTCTGCCGATCCCGTGGAGAGCCAGGGCCGCGTGGACGCATTGTCGTCGGCACTGCAAACACAGGCTGACACCATTGACCGCTACCGGTCGGCCTTTGAAGCGCTGATGGACTCACAACCAAAGAGCAGACGCAGCACTAACACATCCCGCACAGGGTCGTCCACCTCTCTCACCAAGACTACCAGCAGCCTCGTGAGTGCTGCGTGTGTGTGTGTGTGTGTGTGCGTGCGCGCGAGTGTGTGTGTGTGTGTGTGCGTGCGCGCGAGTGAGTGTGTGTGTGTGTGCGTGTGTGTGTGTGTGTGTGTGTGTGTGTGGCTGTGAGTGCGTGTGCGCGAGTGGGTGTGTGATTGCTTGAACAGTGACGCGTTTACCGACTTCTCTGTGATTGCGTGCATACAACGTTCGCCCAACACTCACTCACCTCACACGGGCGGCTTTGTGGTTGTTGCTGCTGCTCCCATCATGTGTGTGTGTGTGTGTGTGCGTGACAGCGCGGGCTGAGGCGACGGTTCAGCTCCCGGCGGCATCGTGCATCACAGAAGCGGTGAGGGACTTGAGCTTTCGCGGTTGGGGAGTTGAGGCTTGAGAAATGGAGGGCACATGTATTATCACCACCACCACCACATTATCGCCATGGTTTACCGTATCCATGCGCATGGTTTGTTTTCCAATGTCCTCACTGACACCTCACTCTTGTGGCTGTTGAAAGGCACCACCGCTCCCGATCTGTGTTTCGCCGGCGACCAGACACACGCAGCAATTCAAGCCAGGAGAAGGAGATAGTGTTGTAGAGCATTGCGTGAAGCAGAAGCAAGCCAGCCAACCAACGCTTTTTCATGTATCATGTGACTGTGCGTCGACATTCCTGCTTTTGTCATGTTCGTTTGGGCAATCGTTCAGAGAAGCAAATCCTTGCTGTGAAGGAGAGAGAGAGAGTAAATAAACGCAACAACAGGAACACGCTCTCATGCCGCTGGTGATGTTGGTTGACAGAGAGAGGGATCAGGGAGGAGAGGAGACTGGAGAGGAGAGACAAGACACGAACGAAGAGGAGAGGCGACATACGCGAAGACCCAAAAGCCACCATATTTCTGTGTGTCGCGTGTCTCCACTGTCGTTTCGCGACTTTTTCGGTCCAATACGATCTTCAAGGACAGGAGTTTTGGCAACATGCCACAGGCTTTGGTCAGGCATACCATCCAAACTGCGATGACTGTGGGGCGATGCAGGAGGACGGGTGCGTGACCACAGACGCTCTCGCCGACCAAGACACAGTCCCAGTCCACTCAAACACTCCAACACACAAGAAGCACAGCAACAAAACTCGGCAGCACGCCAGAGACGACAACGAAGAAGGAAGGCATCGTCAACCATCCACCAGCGTCCATTCAGCAAACCGGAACAGCGGAGGCGGTGACGCTTGGCGAGTTGCAGCCAGGACCAGAAGCAGGGAGCAAGGACGAGTGTGTGTGCGAGTGAGTGTATGCGTGTGTGAGCGTGTGAGTGTGAGTGCGCAGGGGAGACAGACAGAGAGAGAGAGATACGCACAGGCGTACAGCAACTACACAACGCAGAGGCTGGACCATGACAACAAGATTGGTCCACGGTGTCGCATTGAGAGCCAGCAACAACGCCAGTGATTCCAACCTCAAAGGTCAGCGCAGCAAGCTCACCAAGATGGCGTTTGTGTGTGTGTGTGCGTGTGTGTGTGTGTGTGTGTGTGTGTGTGTGTGTGTGTGTGTGTGTGTGTGTGTGTGTGTGTGTGTGTGTGTGTGTGTGTGTGTGTGTGTGTGTGTGTGTGTGTGTGTGTGTGTGTGTGTGGCTAGAGAGCAACATGCTGCGCTGTGTTATGTGAGGCGGTTGAACCAAAGCAGTCTCGACCTTCCAACAGAGGAGCTCACCGCATGCCTTGATCTCTCGACGCGACCCAACACCACAACAACCAATTACAAGCAGGGTCAACAACCATGGCTGATCATGTCTCGGACGCGGCGCTGTTGGATGAGATGGCGTCTGGGATGGAGGAGATTGACGTGCCGGACATGCCAAACGCCAGCGGCGTCAAGGTGGACGACCCCGTCTTCTACACCGAGCTGGATCGTGCCGTCGCTCGCGGTAAGAGAGAGTGTGTGCGTGCGTGTGTGTGTGCGTGTGTGTGCGTGCGTGTTTCTGCGTTGTACGTTGGTACTGTACGTTGGAACCATAAGGGTATGCGAAGGCGTTGCGTGCATCTACGTGTGCGCACACGTGAAGCGGTCGTTGCTTGTGCATCTCTTCGTCCTACCTGTGTCTACCATCCTCTACATCTTTGCCGTCTTCACGCTCATCAACCTCCGCGTTTCCCCTTTCGTCCCTCACCTTCCCCGCCATCTCAACAACACCACCAACACCACCATCGCCACGGCCACCCTTCCCACAGCCCAACAATGCCAGGACTACACGCTGCAAATACAAGCGAAGATGCGAACGCTGCTTGCGGCAGCAGAGGAGCACCGGCGGGCGTGCCACGACCTTGCGATGGTATGGCCCGCACATCAACAGCAGCTTAGATCGCTAACATTGGTGTTGCGATCACTAACTGTGTTTCACACAGGGTTGCATGTGCTTGTCGCACAGCTGTACGTGGGTGGTCTTGTGCCCTTTGGTTTGCGCCTCCATTGGATGAGCGAGCGAGTGTGCCTGGCTTGATGAACGCTCACACACCCGCGTGTATGCGTGCATACGTGCACTAATAGATGCTGTCCATCAGCTCGCACGAGTTCAAGCTGCACCACGCGACAAACGAAGAGGAGCCCCTCAAGGCCTGCTCACAACTTCTCAAGGAGGTGTGTGTTTGTGTGTGTGTGTGTGTGTGTGTGTGTGTGTGTGTGTGTGTGTGTGTGTGTGTGTGTGTGTGTGTGTGTGTGTGTGTGTGTGTGTGTGTGTGTGTGTGTGTGTGTAGTGTGTGT